AACTGTGTTTTCACATTCAAATGTCAACCCTTCTCCTTCTATTTGCTCTGTATCTGTTTTTGGGTGTAAATTTCATCATGAAATCTCCATCTTCCCTGCTCTCATTATGCAGTCAGAAGGTGGGATCCCACTGGTGCACTGCTGTGGTGCCCAACAGAAGGCTGTATTTGAATGAGATTGATTCAAAATTGGAATAAGAGTGGAAGGAAACAAAAAAAACTTACTTTTAGCTGCTGACTGGTATCAATAATAGGACAAAACTGGTATAAGAGCTAGCTTTACAGCTTAAATCAATTTCACTTAAGACCCATGTACAGCAACACTCATCACCATTATTAGTACCCTGGTGAAGGTCTGTGAAAATCATTTTAAAAACGTAAAGCATGACCTAAATTATTTTTTTTCCCCACTATATTAAAGTGGAGGATTTTTGCGAATTCTTTAAAAGACCTGCCCCCCCAATAAAAAAAAAAAAAAAGCACATGCACAACCCTGTATCCGTTACCTATTAAACGCTTGCGAGAGCGTGCACGAGCCCATTAAAAGTTGCTGTTTGCACCGCTCATACAAGCTTACTTTCCAAAAGAAGAGTTGCAATTTTGCCACTATGTCAGACTCAGCACCGGTAAGTAAAAATGGGGACAGGTACGTAGGACGGCCTTAAGTAAACATACCACCAGAATGATTGACAAAAAGTCAACAACATATTATATAGTAAATCATGTTAGTCAGAAGGCCCACTTATTTTGATGATCCACCCAAAAAAAACATCCCCCACTATACCTTTATTTCAGTGGAACCTCTTTAAGAGAAGCAAAGCCCTCAGCATCACACATCCTCTATCTTACCTTATTATGGGCATACGCATTTTGTTAAATACCAAGCCCAGCTTTAAGAGTCTGTAGGAACAAAGATACATTTAGTATCATCTTAACAATTACACTTTGTGAACTGTAAGGAAAAGTATACAGTTTTACATTTCCTATGGTCATAAACTGAACTTTCTTTTCCAAACAAACAGTTGACATATTGAAAGCAATAGTAGTCTATTCAAAGTCACTTTTCTGTACCTCCCTTACAATCGTTGAACCTTTGCATGGTGGCAAGATAAACTCCTCATGCAGCCGAGGGGGTCAATGCTAATAAAACATTTGTCTGTCACATCATATTTATAACCGAGGAAAATTTAAGTCATAGATCACTCTAAAGTGTTTTAAACATATTTCATATAGAGTGTAAACAAAAAAAAACTCTTCAGCTTCTATCTCATCCAAACTCACATTTGCATAATAAATGCAAATGCCAGTGGCTATTATCTTCTCAAATCCCCTTTTGTCTTCAAAACCACCCTCACTCTTTGTGACGTTAAGTCAACAATGTCTTGCAAACATATCCAACAGATTTTTGACCACATTAACTTGAGAACATCATATGATTACAGAAGATTTCTTCAATTATTTATTTATGATGCATATCAACCACACCACAATGGCGCAGTATTAGATTGAGGTTTTGTGACTGTGCAAGCCACTGTGGAACACTGAACATATTGGTGTTTTATCCTGCTGTAAGTATTTATCAGATAATAGGTACACAATTGTCATAAACTTGGAAAAAATGTCTCCCATCATCAGCCTGAACCATTGATAAAAAGCAAGACATGTTGATGGTTGTATGTAGGTTATGACAAATTTGAGAAATATGAATGTTGCCAAAATCTAGACACATAAGATCTGGTGGTATTTTTTTTCCATTCTGTTATTTATGATCTTAACTTTGGTAGGCCAGTGTAAAATCATAGCCTTTATTGCCATGATCAAAGGAGTGTTACGTTGTCCAGCTGTAACCAGTCTACTTAAAGGTTTGACGAGTTATGCATTCAAAGATGGTATTCTACTTGATTTGCTTTTTTGCTATTTGGGCAAGGCAAGATGTGTTTAACTGGCACATTTTAGTGTCTGTACACTTAAAAGTGCCATATATTAGAAGAAAGAGAAGAAAGTAAGTTGCAGTGTCATACATGCGACATAAAAAATTAAAGATTTTTAAAATAAGATTACATTTATATCCTTTGAAACGAGTCATACCGCTTTGAACCCTGACAACAACAATGTAATTAGATCCACAAAACCAATACCTGAAAATCTGATGAGAAAAACGAATGAAATACTCAGAATAACCTGTCTGGTACGAAAAAAAATGGTGTTTTAAAAAACTAATAGGAATCCCAACCCCTGTAAACTGACCTATTTTTTTTTTTTTTTATATAAGAACAAATTGAAGTGGTGTGCCTAATAAAGTGGTCAGCACATGCATAGTAACAATCAATCAGCTAGAAAAATGCTTTCTGATTAAGGTCAATTTAGGATTAAATGTAACTTTTAAAATGACAACCTATGATGCGGCATGGAAAGAAAAAACGTTGCATTAAGCCCACATTCTGTATTACAAATATTTTATTATGGTACTGATGAATATTCTAATGTTTAATGTCACGTTTCATTAGCTTTAAGCAGCAAATCATCATAATTATGAAAACTAAAGGCTTGAAAGCAAATGTCTCTGTGTAATTAATCTATATAATGTGTTTCACTTAGTGAACTGAGTTACTGAAACAAATTTACTTTATTGCTTATATCATTTTTTCACTGATGTAATTCTTTATTACAGTGATTATTAGGGCTGCAAATAATCCTGGATCCTAAGAACAAAAAAACAAAATTATTTGCCCCATTGAATTTAAGCTTAGGATTTTTCAACAGTTCATTTAGCATACCGGATCTATAAAAAACCCCCACATAATTTAATTTCATTTAGGTTACCAATTAATCATATTCAATTATACTACTCATAGACTACACAGTAATGTCAATTGTTTACAGACATTTTTATTTATTATCTTAGATCTACTAACAGAGGGAATGTCTTGTCAGTACTGTTGTCATGCTAAATTCACATACAGTAGTCTGACCCTGAACTCTTAAAGCAACTCTAGATCATAAAACTGCCCCAGAGGGTTGTATAGTAGACACTAGGCATGACGGATATGTCGGTTCCTCCACTGGCCTTCCTACCCCAAGAAACCATCACTCTGGAACAGAACGAATCTGGACTCATCAGACCGCATGACCTTTTTCTACTGCTCCAAAGTTCAATCTTTACGCTCCATAACCAGATTGAATTCACCTTTTTCTTCTTCTACTCCACTGATATTATATTTTTCTTAAGGCTAAGCAGCTGTTTAGGCTTAATACAATAAGATCTCCATGAAATGATTTTGTTAGGAGAGGCTCTTATTCAAACAATACGCCACTATAGTCGGATCTGTGGATTTTTGTTGAAAATATTGTGATCTAGTTAAGTAATCTGGATTCAGAATACATTTCCTGCATTTCCTAATCAAAATTGTTTTATGGTATTCATCACAATTACCCGTGAAGTCAGCTTATGTCCTAATGCTTACCTGTCGAATGCAAATTACACAATCTCCATAATTGTACGATGTACATTGGACGAAAACCCATCAATGAGAGATGATGCACATGCTGCATTCAGGTTAAGCTGGTAAACTAGGCTGTAAAAATGTCCAAACATTTCAGCAGGGACTTAATTCTCAAAATATGGGATTTCATTCTTGGATTATAGGCACAATCCTATTCTAGTGTATCCGTTTCTCAGGAGCTGTTGAGATCCTCAACTGTTTTAAACCCCCCATCAACAGCCCATGTCCCCCCCCAAAAAAAAAATTAAAATTAAAAAAATCACATAAATATTTGTTTGCAGCTGTTTCATACAGATATATACTTAAAAGTTCATACATTGTGATTTTTTGATTTTTTGTTTAGATTATGTCTCTCATAGTGGACATGCACCTACGATGACAATTTCAGACCCCTCCATGACTTCTGAGTGGGAAAACTTCCCTCACTGTAGCAGTTTGTGGTATTATTATAATAAAGTTCTAAATATGTAATCATTTTAAGCTAGGCAATATAGATCAAATCTGTGCCTAATTTTCCATTTTAAGACTGAGATTTTCATTACAACACATAATATAATAACCAAATTCCAGCACCCTCTAGGTCTGCAAGGATGCTTACCCTCTTTAGATTAAACCAATAATTTAAACATTATGCACACAGAAAAAAAATACATATAGCACTGAATTTTCTTTTTTTTCTAAATAAACTCATTTACTATTTTTTTTGGCAATGCTACCAAGAGTCAATGATAAAGAGCTGCAAAGTAAAGATGCAAATAACACATTCAAAATGGCCTAATAACCACTTCTAATGAAAATGCATCATTCTGATCAATTGTATGTATTCAGGCATGCCCGCCTTCTTTAGCCTTTGCCTCTGATTGTATTTTCCAAATGCCAAGAGCTGAAAAATGACCACTACAAACACACAAGCCATTCAGCAAAAATGAGGCAAAATGTTCTGGGGAAAAATGCAATGCTTGGACACAGTAAATGTGTCCAAGCATTGCATTGCCCCCACCCAGTCCCTCAACCACACCCTACTGTACTTCTTTTCTAGTAGACAACACTTCACTTGATATTATTTCTACAATGAAACCAACACCCAGTTCTTGCTTTTGTTAAGTTTATCATCAAACTATTACAAAACACCACTCTAGCACATCATGAAATGTGGTAAATAACTGTAGAAAAAGGCCAATGGCAGAGTCTGCAACAGTGATGAGGAAGTGAATGAGAAACTTCTCTAATGAAGAGGAACTTCCACATGTCCTGCTATTAAATCTTGAGGTTGTGTCTCCTATTAATGATGGAGTCCCCCTTGCATAATCCTAAACTACAAAGCAGATATACTCTGTGCCCAATGTAGTTGTTTAGAGGGAGGGAGAGTGTTAATGGCTATGAGGCTCAGCAGGCTGTCTTTGTGTGTCAAACTTCAAGGGAGCTTAGAGAGAAGAAGAAGAGGAAGAAGAAGAAGAAAGGATGCTAGGCTGACAACAGAGATGTCTCTGGGTCTTACCTGTCCTGGCATTGAGTTTTCACACAGGAGAGTTTCATAGTCGATTGCAAAGACTGGGGCATTATCATTTACATCCCGCACCGAGATCAGAGCGATGCCTTTGCCAACCTGGTTTGGATCCACTGCAAAGAAAAAGAAAGAAGAAGAGCTTTGGGTTTATACATTTTAGCAAAACTCTTCATTTTTATTTTCAGATTAGTATTTCAAAAGAAAAAATGTGTTTAAAAACGAGTTAGATACTGATATTAGGTGTTGTATTGGTAGGGGTCTCCGACTGCAGTCCCTGAGAGCTATTGCCCCTCAGTTTATAAATGCATCCCTGCTCCAGTAAACCTGATTAATATCAGTAACTTGTTACATGGCTTTCTTTAAACTTGATCACAAATTGATAAAATAATCTTTCATTAGAATTACAGTATAAAAGAAGAGATCTCAAGAACTGGTGTTGGAAACCTCTGAGCAACAGCATATTATATTGTAAGATAATGTTAGTCAACATATCTATGACACCATAGATTGTGTTTAGTTAAGCTGACATTGCAAAATTAATCTTTATAGGAAATCCAAATAAGAATCTTACAAAGATCTCTCCACATATAAATGACAATAGAGGGTCATCAGTCAGAGGGTACTCAATATTTGCTGTAAGAAAAGCTGCTACACTACATCCTTCCTTTCTAGAGATGATAAATTAATTGCAAAAAAAAAAAAAAAACTGAAGAGGTACAACAAGGATTCTTTTCCCTTTTAGGTAAAGAAACTATTTTTAAACTGATTTCAATTAGGAAAAAACTTCAAGGAAGCTTGAAAGTGCACAAATGTGTGCTGCACTGTCATTTCCAAGTTACTTCAGACAGCTGGCATTGTTGACCAATCCACTGTCAAACAGTTTGAAAGATTAGCCTTTGTAAAGGCTTCTCGGGAAAATCCATGTGTGTGAACCATCTTCCACAGTGGGCTTCACGCCTTTGTCTGCTTGACACGCACTGATGGCTAAATGAGTCTGAGTGCGAGACGATAATTTAGTCTGGCGTCGCCATGATGCCGGCCAGAGATGACGGTATGACATTCGGGGTGGCTGATTTGATGGTGATAAAAAGGGCGCACAGAGCCTCAGGCCACAGACTTGTTGTCATTGGAATGGACTGGACGTAGCGAAGAGAGGATGAAATGTGAGTGACTGCAGCTCAAATGCTCAACAAAGCTCAGCTGAAGCGAACTTGCTCCTGTTTTTAGCTACAAAGGGTACTTTTACTATTAATAATGTCAGAAGACTGTGCAGGCCAGGGAATATAAGCGGCAGTCCTTCAAATCAAAGATTTTATTTTAGCTGAAAACAGTGTATGAGTATCACTGTGTGTCAGAAGTCAGTACCTCACGCATGAGGGGCTGTTGTGACATTTCATATGGCTATTATTATATCCTGCCTTTTCTCTTGTGCTATATTAGGCAGCACTCCTGAAATCTACCAAGAAGTACATCTATGTGCCATGAGACATAAATAAAAACACAGCTTTGAAGCAGAGAAGAATAAAAGGTTTTGAAAAGACTAAGCAGCCTTTACACAGCGATCGTTCTCTTTTAAGATATAAAAGCAGAGGAACTAAAAGACTGCTAGACGTCTTTAACTGATATTGGTGTGATGCAGCTGTATCAAGTTCTCAGTAGGATGTGTGCTGATGATAGTTGTCCATTATGTTAGTGTAATACTAGTTAAATGAAGGGACGGAAAAAGCACAGAGGAAATAAGGTGTTCATGTCCTTGTAGCATTGACAGATTAACAAAAAAAGGCATGCAGAACTTCTTCACATCACATTAACATTGTTCACCCGTGGGTGAGACGGTCTGCCCTTAGTCAGCATCTCGTCCCCACAACTCAGGGAGACATGGAGGTCACAGTGACCGTCCTGCGTGGAAATTAACATTCCCTGACAGCTGTGCATCAACGTCGCAACTATGTGCTGTAATTTCCCCTGTTCTGCAGACTAATGGGCATTAGGAAGTCTGAGAGGAGCAAAGATTTTTTACTGACAGGCTAAATGACACTGTTTTAAACCCTGGGGGGGCATTTTTGTAGAAAGAGAGAGAAGGACAGAATTTTAAGTGAGTACATGGTGTAATAAACGGACAGCTACGTTTAAAGAGAGGTAAAAAAAAAAAAAAAAATGACATGGCAGCATACCGGACCGTTTTTCTACCAGCATTATCATAATCCTAAAGTTTGTAAGATTTTTAAAACAGAGTCTCGTGAAAAAAATAAGAAACACTATAAAAAAATTTGTTCTTACATACTTATATGGCTAATAATAAACTATTTTAATAATACTAAAAGTTATTAAAAAAAAGCTATGAAAGCATATTTTATTTATTTATCAATATTTGTGGAAAAACAATGGAGCTACTTATTTGGGATAAATGTGGACTGCCAAAAATATATTTACATTTAAAATGGCTAAAGTCTCACACATGCTTATCTCAAATGGTCAATAAAATGACAGCATGGTTTTTCTTTCTTGTTCAAACCCTATATATTAAGCTTTTGGTTTGTATATGTTGAGTAGTTGTCAAATTGATAGAGCTGTCTGAGACGCTTCAGAAAGAAAAATATTGGAAGTTGTTATTCTGGTACAGGATTTAAAGAAGTCTGAAGAGAATTTAAAATCAGCTATTCTACTGCATAGGAAATGGTCTATAATAAAGCATGTTCAAGGGAACTGCCAACATACACATTTCTGGCCTTCTAGGCAAGGTTACTCTGAAAGTCTACTGCAGCATTAAAAAGTCTTGCAAAAATAAAAAATAAGAAAATAACTCTAAAATGTAAACACGTGATCTCATGCATTTTCTGTCCATCTGAAGCTGCATACCATTACCATTAGAACAAAACTGCAGACTTTTACCTTTCATGTAAGGTAAGCATTGAGAAAACCTTTGCTTTCACTATTGAAGACCAGACTGAAGTTCACCAGAGAGAATAACAATGTCTCTTTGTGCCACACAAAGGTACTGAAGGAGCTTTTTCAGCGATTATCTCTGCTATGTTCAATACAGTGCTCTGTTCTTAATGTCATAGATTTTACCACTGGCTCTGATCGGTCATGTTTATCCATGTGTTTCCTGTTAAAGCCACTAACAGAGCTGTTGCTGCCATCAACTCTACTGTTTCTTTACATACTGTAGAAACCAGAGGTTGTTTTTGTGTCTAACTACTTTGCTTTCTCAAACCCATAATTTCCCACATTGAGTCAAAGGATTTTATTAAACGAAAGAAAAGTATTTTTGTTTGGTTACCTGTTTTGTTGGATGTATTGTTTTAAAGTGTCTGTACACCCTGCACTTAATATATAGTTTCAGTAATGTCTTTAAAAGTTATGGATTAATTAATCAGATTTTAGGCTTTAAAATATCTTATTTGTGCTTTATTTTGTTATTCTGTTTTGTCAAGAATTATATAATTTTTCTTATTATTTATTACTGGGTCTAGTTTTAGTTAATTCTTCTCTTATCCTCTAGTTTTCCCCTAGGTTAATCCTTATTTTGTAGTCATTAGTTTTATTCCCCTTTACCCTTATTCAAGTTCCTTTGTAGTTACAGTTAAGCCCCGTTTTCCCTGGTTGGTCTTTGTTGCCCCTTGAAGCCCTGTTCCTTTCCCCATAGCTTTCTTCTTCAATCCCCACCTGCTCCTTGTCTGCTGATTAGCCGTCTTTGTTCAGTCTCACATTTATACTCCTCCTCTTCAGTTACTGTTTGCTAGTTCCTCGTCGTTTCTTGGCTCCCCGTGTGCGTTTTCCCTGACGTTCCCAGGATTATTTAGTTTTCTATATTTTGTTTTTGGACTTTGCTTTTGTTGCCTTTGAATCTGCATTAAATCTTCAAGAATCCACCTCAGCTTCTGTCTCTGCATTAGGATCTTCTGAAAACCTCCATACAATAAATATAGTTATGCCTTAACTACATTTAACCGTTCCTTTCTTCTGTGATTTGTACTCCTGAGGGGATTAAAGTACTTTGTCTTAATTAGAAATTCACACAAACAACCAGTCTTTTTCTGGGAAACGTGAAAAATTCTGTTATTGTAACCTAGCAGCATATGTATGTCTACCTATTCATTTTATCATCCTTTTACTTTATAGGTTCAAACTATAGACAACTCCATCTGTTTGTATGGGGGGGAGTGAAGTAAAACCTCTGTCTTCTTTATGAAGACTGAGGTACATTTTTCTGTGTCTTGCAGGGGAAGCTGCAGGGATAAGAAGAGCAAGGACACCTTGTTGTTTGCTTTCCTTTTATTCTGCAAACCAAAATAAAAATCAATGGATAATTTGTTTGCACCGCCATTATTTTGTGTCTGTTTACTTCTCCTTGTTCTTCTTAACTGTTTTACTTCCGGGTGGCTGACGTTAGAAAACCCTTTGCAAGATCTCGCAAAAGTTTTTTTTTTCCTTCCTTGTCCCTTTAGGGGCTCCGTATGAAGCAACCATTTGGGTCAGGATGAGGAAAAAAAGGAAGTATAAGAATGCCGTTTTTTTATATTGTTGTAGAGCTATTGTTACTTCAGGCAGTTTTGCTAATTTGATAATAGCTAGCAAACATGGTACCCATGAACACCTTTTTAACGGCCCAGTAAGTATAGTGTCAGGTTTATCGCAAAGCTCAAACTTTTCCTGTTTAAATTAACGACTATGGTAAGAATCCTGCTCCACAACCCCTTAGATCTTAGATTGGGGCATTAGATCAACTTAGAGGTGCCATACAAATCCTCCAGTAATGATGTTGCAGCTGTCAGACATGCTGTTTAGCTTAGCTCTTTTCTCAGAAATATTATGAAAAATATTTCCTCCATTCATATAATAGTCAACCAAAGTCAGACCCTACACTGTTATCATTGAAAAGTAGAAAATCTGAGTTAAAGTTTGCTTTGTACTCACTTAATGCTTAACACAATTTAAAGTAGGGTTTTACCAGCTGAATGCACATGTGAATTAAAATAAAATTTAAAACAAAGAGAGGCATATACAGAATTGATTTTGATTATTTTACTCAGAGCTAACAACATTTGTTATCAAATTGGAGCTAATCCAAAAAAAAATAAAAAAAAAATTTGTCCAGAGAAACTGTCATGTGCTGCCATTTGAAAAGAATTTATAATTATTTTTCTGTAAAAGGATGGGGTGGACTCTAAATATAAACTAGATCAAAACAACAGAGGGGCAACTGGAGAAGATAATCTGTTCAGTTAGTGGGTTTGGAAGCCATTAATTAATTGTTTGCCTTGTGTGTTACTTCAGAAAACAAATCAAAGGAGATGTTTGTATTGTTCACAGCATTACTATGGAAATCTGGCATTTTTATACACTACAGTAACTCAGAGGGGTTAACAATAATCATTTGCTGAAATGAGCTAAACTTTCCAGCCTCCTTTTCACCCTTGATTGCATGAGAAAAATCCTTTTTCCCGAAGCTCTTAGTGCCAGACTTCAAGTCGAAGTGAAGTCAGGAATTTTTACAGATCTTGAATGGATGCAATTCAGTCACTGTATAGGAAAAAGCAGGACCACCTTCAGTCTGTTGAGCTGGTGACTGCTCAACAGTCTGGTTTCAGCATCTGTTGAGCTGGTGACTGCAGACTCTACTGTACCAGATATCCTGACTTATTATCAGTATAAAAACAGCATGGAATCTCATAGTGTTTTTGAAGAGCAAAAGCACAAAACCTACCAGTATTTTGCAGACCAAGGACATGTACTTCAAAAAAATGCAAGATGTAGCAAAGGGTTTATTGTATGCTACTGCTGATTATTGTTAGTTAAGAGTTTGACTATAAGTGGTTAATTTTCCCAAATACTTTACTGACATTGAGAGCAGACTTGTTTGTGGCTTTTTATAAACTTACAGATCTCGATGGCCAAAATGGTGAGATTGTGGACAGAGTTGGCCTCTCGGTCCAGAGGCTTTGCTGTACTGATGATCCCACTCAGAGCGTCCACATTGAAAAATCGCTCTAAGTCTGTGTTCCTGTCAATGGAGTACCTAGGCACAGAAAGTTATCTATATTACACATGACATGTTTAAAAAAAACTGATTAACTTGTATTGATTTGACATTATGATGTAGCAGTTTCTTTTACCTGAAGAGAAAACATGATTATGTCCTTTTTCATCTGTTGCTGTGACATTAAAATAATAAGCTTCATACAAACGTTAGAGTATTGATTTTAAACCTCATGGAATATTGTTCTTTTTTTCCAGTTGTTCTTTAAATGTCATAAATAATATCACAATTTTTACTTGGAACTTAGGATGGCACAAAAGCCTTTTAACTTTTGATAAAACAAAAAACTGTCCCTCAACACACAACACTTATCAAGTCCTTTCAACACTCATAAGCTCATTTTTCAAGAGAAAATTACAGCTTCAATTAGCATATATCCTAGGGGTATTATGGCAATGTAATTTGACTCTTGCGGCTGCATTAATTCCATAGTAATTTTAATTCTAACAGATGTAGAGAAATATATTGCTGATTCTGATAACAGTCACGGGGGCAAAAAAAGGCAATTTACAGCTACAATGGAGGAGTAATTAGATTTTCTGATTAAGATTACTAACAATCCTAACAGACCGAGCATGAATACCATACAATACTCTTTCAATTAGAGCAGAATGGGTGGGGGAACATCTCTAGAGTGACACTGCACAGATTGACTATGTGAATGCTTGTTTTGAGTCATAAATGCCATTGCGCAATTGATAGGCCCTGACCTCCTGCAGGAATGCCCTTCTCTTGTTGAAGATGGCATTTTATATTTGCAAATGCAAGCATTCCTTGGCCCGCCCACCATCTGCTGCGGTCTTTGTGACAGCTACACTGGGGACTTTCAAGGGTCTGTGGAGTCTGTCTTTGTAGATAATGTGGAGAAGCAATTTGTTTGCATATTAGGGAAATTGTTGCTTCTTTATCTTAGTGCAAGACTCTGTGAACTAATTTCATAACTTAGTTTGAAAGGAAGAAAATTGTCTGGAGGTTTCAGTTTCCCCATCAGATTTCTGACTTATTATGTAGCACAGCCCACAAGCATAGCTTTTGTACCTGATTCCACTGTTGGAGGTGTCGGGGTCATGAGCAGAGACTCTACCAATAGATGTGCCCACTTTGGCGTCCTCTGAAACATTCATTTTGGAGAGTTGTGTAGAGAAGAGGGGTGGTTCATTCACATCTTCCACAGCAACTTTGACTGAAGTTGTGTCGCTAAATGGGCCCAGGCTCAAGAAATTGGAGTCAATGTTCCTGTTTGTGGCTTCGATTCTTAGAGCAAAACCGCTTCTTGTCTCAAAATCTAGAGGCTAAAAGATAAAAGGACAGAAAATAATAGAAATATGTTACTTGAAGGTTCTTATACAGTTTTTTATGCCAAATTCCAGGATTATAATTCAGATATTTAGAAATTATTTCATTTCAAAATTCATATCATATTCATATCAAATTGACAGTATGATATGAAACCTGGAAAAAAAAAAGAAAGAATGGATGGATGGATGGATGGATGGATGGATGGATGGATGGATGGATGGATGGATGGATGGATGGATGGATGGATGGATGGATGGATGGATGGATGGATGGATGGATGGATGGATGGATGGATGGATGGAAATTCCCCTGCCACAGTGATATTGCTCTACTATAAAAGGCTTCATGGGTGACATAAAGAAAAAGTTAAGCAGCTCCAGCGGTAAGCTGTTTGCATTCTGACCTCCCAGCTTAAGATGGATGGATGGAGGGTTTTATTTTTAGATACTGACACAAGGGTTTAATTCCACATATTCAATGACATGTAATCATAAACAAATGTTTTCAGATTTCACATTTCCTTTGACCATGTTTATCCAAAGGTGGAAGTTACCCAATTGAAAATCTAGACCGGGGTCTGAAACCTTTCATATCCAAAGAGCCATTTTGCCCTGAGACCAGCTAAGAAAAAGTAGTTTTCAGCTACAAACTATTACAACTATTAATAAAACACAACCTATTATTAATTTTAAATATTTGCCATAAGGCATCTATTGCCATCTTCAACAACAACAATGTATTTTTAACTTTCAAAAAAGGAAAAACATAAAATGAATCATAAAGATGAAGCATGGATTTTTCTTCTATAGGATACTATTTGATGCACACAAAATATTTGATAAAGCACAATTCCAAGCTAGTCAAAAGCAAAATTGCTCTAAAAACATATTTCTATTAATTCTAATGTAATTCTGTTGTGGAAATTAAATTCAAATATTCTTTATTTAAACCAATCAAGCTTCTACGACTGGAATATGTTTTTTTATTCTGTTAGTCAGTTCTTTATATTGTTTGTAGGTACTAATAAGAGCCATTGCAGAGGCTCCAAAGAGCAAAATGCAGTTTGGGAGTTGCAGGTTGACGATCTCTCGTCTAGACTTTCCCAGGCTCAAAGAGAACCAAGTCACCTGTCACACATGAAAGGTCTTTTCTGTGAGAACTGCCCTTTATACTCCCCAGAAATTTACTGTCATTTTCTGAGTTGGATGAATGAACAGCTTATGTGTGTATTATAAAAACATGTACCCAATGTGGTGATATTGATTACAATTAAGGTTGTCGTCTCTAGCACCCATAATATTTTACACAGTGTCACACAAAGTGATTTCATGATGGATTTGTAGTGACTTTTTTTCCGTGAATGAACTAATTAGGGGTGCTTATAAAGAAAGGCTCAGAGCGTGGATGAAAGCATACAAAGACGAATGCTTTTGAAAACATTTTTTCTGGCTTATTAAACTCTCTGTGCAGCATATAATATACTGAGCATACCTATTTGACAGATTCATTGTCAGAGGCTCTTTCTGCCTTGTATTTGTCTGAGTTTATGTGGTGAACAAACAAAGGATCAAATTGGCCCATTCTGGCAAAACCTGCCTGTAGGTCAACAATGGTTCTATCAGTGTGACAAAGAAGAGGCAGCAGAGAGCTGTCACATCCATAAGGCCTGAAGAGACCATTTCAAGATTAGAACCCTGAAATCTGACCCCTTTACCAAGAAGATCCGAAGTTTGTCTGGTAATGTTGTACTATATTTGAACAAATACACATAAAGAGTTAATTAAACTATAAATTCTTCTTATTTCTATTCAGATAAGTAGGGCTAGGGGAACATTTTCTGTTGAAGAATGTATAATTCTTTTAAAACCTGGAGTTCCTCCTCCAATACACTCCTCTGCCTCCTACCACAGGCTGACATCAGTTTATCACTTTTTGTTCTTGAAGGTGTTCTCATTACTAATAAACCAGCTCATTTTTTAATACTACTACTGTAGCAGGAAACATTTACTGTGTTATATTTCACTGTTTGTTGTAAAAGGGCTTGTAAAACAATAATATTTTCCACCTGGAATTTTGCTGCCCTTTAAATGTTCAAATCCCACAAGGAATTAATAAAATAAGACCTAATGTTTGCTTTTTTTAAATTTTATTTCTGTATTATGAAACCTAAGTAGAAAAAGAATCGATTAATCGGTTTTGGCATGAAAGACAATTCATGCAAGACATTTCACCTAGAGAGGATTTTTTGGGGAGCCTCTGAGTAAAGCAGTGAAGTAGAGTAAAGTAGAAAGGTAGAGTTCAAAGGGTATGACAACCCATATGCAATGTATCTAAAGGGTTCCCACGGTTAATTGGTTGATCTGTGTGTCTTTGTTATGCTCTCTGTGTTCAGTTTTCATATACAAAGATTAAATCCCACATAAGAATAAAGTTAATACTTTGTAAAAGTGCTCAGCTACTTTGTAGAGTTCTACTCTAAGGTATTCAAACAAATAGCCTAAACAGTATCAATCTTCAGTCTAACCTTGAGTAAAAACACAAATATTTAAAACAAACATTCTCAATTAACATATAGAGTACACTGGAAAAAATAATGCATCCTTTTTTACAGTAAGCATATGTAGTTACTGTAACACAATTGTTTCATGTCCTACCATGCTACAATGAAAAAATTGTGTTAAGTAACTAAATATGCTTAAGTAGATGGAAAATAATGATGCGTTCTTTTTCTTCAGTAATAAACTTGTTTGCTCTTGCAAAATCTACAATATTTTTTGTGCTACAACAACATACATATTTACAATAAGGACTTGACTTGAAACAATGTTTGGGTGAATCCATATGCAGTTGCTATAACTCCTAACTCCCACACAGACTTAAACCAACGGTCCTTTTTTTGTTTTTCTTGTGTGTCTGTTGTGACAACATGTCTCTTTTTTGAACTGTACCTTCTGCAGAATAATAACCCCCTCTTGTGTGTCCTCATCTGTTGTGATGTTGAACATGCCGGGCCCGTCACCGTCCATGATCCTGTAGTCCATCTCTGCATTGGAGCCGATATCAGCATCTGCCGCTTTGATTCTGGCCACCACAGATTGCACCGGCAGTGACTCCAGCACTGTGTACTGATAGCTCTCTGGAAAGGGCAGGACAAGAGTGGATGTTTGTAATGGATTTGCTTATTTTTTTGCAAACCAACATTCATGCATTAGACTAACAGGCAGGGGGGCAGTGGAACATAAATCTCTTGGTTTCCTCTCCAATTTGTGGTAAAGATGGCAGAGAAGGCAAAAGGAAATTATGCTATTATAACAGCAAGAACAATTTTAGTTTACGGTGTTCTAGGGGTTTCGCCGTTAACAGAATGAATGAGGCCATATTAACAAATTTTTCTGTGAGAGGTCGTCCTGGCAGGAAGAAGGGGAGTCTAATTTGTAAAATTACAGAGTACGGTTTATGATATGTTTATTGTTTAGAGGAAGGCACAAAGGAGCAAAGACACTGAAACTAAAAAGTTCGGAATCAGTCTCTGTTAATTTGTACATTTTTATAACAATGCAATATTATTTTATTCCCTTAATATTCACTGGTGTATCTGTATACACACCAATTTATTACCATGTACTTGAACAGTTATAGATAAGTTTATCTTTCTAAAACTTAACTGAGTAAAATGGTTCCTCCTGCTCAGTGTCCGGCTCTCTAACTGTCAATACTCACACTCATTTTGAGTGTGGATATAAAAAAGCCATGCACTCAATTAGGATCCTGTCTTTAGATATGCCTTTTGTAGAACAAAACTGCCTTAGCAAATGCAAGTCTGTACTTCATATGTAAAGTCTGAAATGCCACAACAGGACAAATGGAACCAAAGTGAAAAAGCTAAGCAAAAATAGATCTGGTATAACTCAGTTTAAAGTAATTTTCTCTATTTTGGTTATAGTGTCAGTTAAGTTAAAATTGGCTAAGAGGTCATTGTGCCGGAGCAATTTAAATGGTTGAAATAAAATAAAACATCTTAAACAAAATCTCCACTTGTACTTTACATACAAACATGTAGTGGTGTACACCAATGAACAATTGATTAACAATTAAGGAAGTTTATAGGATGTAGGTTTAATAGATTCATTGTTTACAGAAATGCAGACAAAAGTTCAAAAATAAAAGATGTTTACATAAAGTAGTTTTAATACTGTGGTTAATAATGGCAGCTCACACTTTTAGGAAGTTGTCTAAATATATCAATATATCAATATCTTAGTCATTAATCACAGGTTAACACCTGTGATTAATGACTAAGATATTGACTAGTTAGATTAAATGTCTCATTTAAAGGAAAAAGCCCAGTTTCAGTCCCTCACACCCTTTCCTGTGCATTTAATTTATTGATTTACCTATATTTACATTTAAAATGCTTTACATAGACATTAAAATGTCTCATTTAATTCAGTGTAGAAAAAAATTTACTAAATTTAATATTTTTTGTGAAAAATAACAAATTAGTTTACACATCTATTTTGTCATATCTCACAGGGTGTAGTGAAAGTTAACTTTGGAAATTCCAGATGTGGTTATAAAACAAAAAAAAAATATATACATTGATATTAACCTTAACATCTATTGGTTCTCTTTAGTTGGTGATTTTTTTTTTCTACACTAACTGTTCATTATTCAGTAAAAATGCAATATTTAATTTTGTACCTGGATAACCCTTTAATCCTGTTACTTGAATGAATCTTCCTGTATATATTCCATAATCCACTGTAAATTATGAGATTGTGACATTTCTGAGGTGTTTTGGACAACCAGAGACAGGATCATTGCTCCCTTCTTTTCCTTTGGTTTGGTCATTTATCATGTAATGTCATGACCATAAAACTCAACACTGCAACATTTAAGAAACCTACTTACGAAAAAAAAAATAAAAATATTTTAATGGTATTTCTGAATCTCACTGATACCATGACCTCTCTTTCTGATCATTTATACATTGAGTAGTGGCCATGTTGTGCAAAAATTATGACATTGCAACCCTGTCACAACTTTGATTGAATTCCACGAAACAAGAGGCACATACTTGCATACACATGCAACAACAAATAGTCACCGGAACGCAGCTGTTACTGTACGTTCTTCTGTTTATACAATGACTTTGTGTCGACTTCCACTAATTGTCCATTGATTGCTATGGCATAACGCTGATCCTAACAATAAACTCAATTAGTACTGTACCAGAATATATCTAGCCCTAAAATTAACCTTATCTCAATTCGTACCTTAGTTCTAAAGCGGACATCTCCCCTTATAAAATTGTACTTTATTTAATGTGAATGAATATTTGGGTTCCATAAGGACACGTGGGTCCTCAAAAAGTAAAATATTTAGAAAAATAAGCTTTGCACTGTAACAAAACCACATAACCATCACACACACACATACATTCACTTGCTGATGCCGGTAAGATACATGGTAGCCATAGATGCTCTGGGTCAGACGGGAGCGAAGCTGCCATGATTCAGGCCATCTTTTGTGCCATTGGGCCCTCTTACCATCAACAACATGCAAACATGGCACAGTTTGTTCTGTGTTTGTTTCCCGTGGTCTTTCTGCATGGAGTTTGCATGATCTCCCTGTGAATGCGTGGGTTTGCTCTGGGTACTCTGGCTTCCTCCCACAGTCCAAAAACATGACTGTTAGGTTAATTGGCTTCTCTAAATTGTTACTGGGTTTGAGTGTGTGTGTGTATGCATGGTTTTGTGTCTCTGTGATAACCTGCGACAGACTGGCCACCTGTCCAGGGTGTACCCCGCCTCTCGCCCATCGACTGCCAGAGACCAGACCACCAGACCANTTGCAGAGGCTCCAAAGAGCAAAATGCAGTTTGGGAGTTGCAGGTTGACGATCTCTCGTCTAGACTTTCCCAGGCTCAAAGAGAACCAAGTCACCTGTCAAACATGAAAGGTCTTTTCTGTGAGAACTGCCCTTTATACTCCCCAGAAATTTACTGTCATTTTCTGAGTTGGATGAATGAACAGCTTATGTGTGTATTATAAAAACATGTACCCAATGTGGTGATATTGATTACAATTAAGGTTGTCGTCTCTAGCACCCATAATATTTTACACAGTGTCACACAAAGTGATTTCATGATGGATTTGTAGTGACTTTTTTTTCCGTGAATGAACTAATTAGGGGTGCTTATAAAGAAAGGCTCAGAGCGTGGATGAAAGCATACAAAGACGAATGCTTTTGAAAACATTTTTTCTGGCTTATTAAACTCTCTGTGCAGCATATAATATACTGAGCATACCTATTTGACAGATTCATTGTCAGAGGCTCTTTCTGCCTTGTATTTGTCTGAGTTTATGTGGTGAACAAACAAAGGATCAAATTGGCCCATTCTGGCAAAACCTGCCTGTAGGTCAACAATGGTTCTATCAGTGTGACAAAGAAGAGGCAGCAGAGAGCTGTCACATCCATAAGGCCTGAAGAGACCATTTCAAGATTAGAACCCTGAAATCTGACCCCTTTACCAAGAAGATCCGAAGTTTGTCTGGTAATGTTGTACTATATTTGAACAAATACACATAAAGAGTTAATTAAACTATAAATTCTTCTTATTTCTATTCAGATAAGTAGGGCTAGGGGAACATTTTCTGTTGAAGAATGTATAATTCTTTTAAAACCTGGAGTTCCTCCTCCAATACACTCCTCTGCCTCCTACCACAGGCTGACATCAGTTTATCACTTTTTGTTCTTGAAGGTGTTCTCATTACTAATAAACCAGCTCATTTTTTAATACTACTACTGTAGCAGGAAACATTTACTGTGTTATATTTCACTGTTTGTTGTAAAAGGGCTTGTAAAACAATAATATTTTCCACCTGGAATTTTGCTGCCCTTTAAATGTTCAAATCCCACAAGGAATTAATAAAACAAGACCTAATGTTTGCTTTTTTTAAATTTTATTTCTGTATTATGAAACCTAAGTAGAAAAAGAATCGATTAATCGGTTTTGGCATGAAAGACAATTCATGCAAGACATTTCACCTAGCCCTATAAAGAGGGTAACTTTGGAAGACAGTTGAGAGGATTTTTTGGGGAGCCTCTGAGTAAAGCAGTGAAGTAGAGTAAAGTAGAAAGGTAGAGTTCAAAGGGTATGACAACCCATATGCAATGTATCTAAAGGGTTCCCACGGTTAATTGGTTGATCTGTGTGTCTTTGTTATGCTCTCTGTGTTCAGTTTTCATATACAAAGATTAAATCCCACATAAGAATAAAGTTAATACTTTGTAAAAGTGCTCAGCTACTTTGTAGAGTTCTACTCTAAGGTATTCAAACAAATAGCCTAAACAGTATCAATCTTCAGTCTAACCTTGAGTAAAAACACAAATATTTAAAACAAACATTCTCAATTAACATATAGAGTACACTGGAAAAAATAATGCATCCTTTTTTACAGTAAGCATATGTAGTTACTGTAACACAATTGTTTCATGTCCTACCATGCTACAATGAAACAATTGTGTTAAGTAATATGCTTAAGTAGATGGAAAATAATGATGCGTTCTTTTTCTTCAGTAATAAACTTGTTTGCTCTTGCAAAATCTACAATATTTTTTGTGCTACAACAACATACATATTTACAATAAGGACTTGACTTGAAACAATGTTTGGGTGAATCCATATGCAGTTGCTATAACTCCTAACTCCCACACAGACTTAAACCAACGGTCCTTTTTTTGTTTTTCTTGTGTGTCTGTTGTGACAACATGTCTCTTTTTTGAACTGTACCTTCTGCAGAATAATAACCCCCTCTTGTGTGTCCTCATCTGTTGTGATGTTGAACATGCCGGGCCCGTCACCGTCCATGATCCTGTAGTCCATCTCTGCATTGGAGCCGATATCAGCATCTGCCGCTTTGATTCTGGCCACCACAGATTGCACCGGCAGTGACTCCAGCACTGTGTACTGATAGCTCTCTGGAAAGGGCAGGACAAGAGTGGATGTTTGTAATGGATTTGCTTATTTTTTTGCAAACCAACATTCATGCATTAGACTAACAGGCAGGGGGGCAGTGGAACATAAATCTCTTGGTTTCCTCTCCAATTTGTGGTAAAGATGGCAGAGAAGGCAAAAGGAAATTATGCTATTATAACAGCAAGAACAATTTTAGTTTACGGTGTTCTAGGGGTTTCGCCGTTAACAGAATGAATGAGGCCATATTAACAAATTTTTCTGTGAGAGGTCGTCCTGGCAGGAAGAAGGGGAGTCTAATTTGTAAAATTACAGAGTACGGTTTATGATATGTTTATTGTTTAGAGGAAGGCACAAAGGAGCAAAGACACTGAAACTAAAAAGTTCGGAATCAGTCTCTGTTAATTTGTACATTTTTATAACAATGCAATATTATTTTATTCCCTTAATATTCACTGGTGTATCTGTATACACACCAATTTATTACCATGTACTTGAACAGTTATAGATAAGTTTATCTTTTTGAAACATGACTGAGTAAAATGCTTCCTCCTGCTCAGTGTCCGGCTCTCTAACTGTCAATACTCACACTCATTTTGAGTGTGGATATAAAAAAGCCATGGACTCAATTAGGATCCTGTCTTTAGATATGCCTTTTGTAGAACAAAACTGCCTTAGCAAATGCAAGTCTGTACTTCATATGTAAAGTCTGAAATGCCACAACAGGACAAATGGAACCAAAGTGAAAAAGCTAAGCAAAAATAGATCTGGTATAACTCAGTTTAAAGTAATTTTCTCTATTTTGGTTATAGTGTCAGTTAAGTTAAAATTGGCTAAGAGGTCATTGTGCCGGAGCAATTTAAATGGTTGAAATAAAATAAAACATCTTAAACAAAATCTCCACTTGTACTTTACATACAAACATGTAGTGGTGTACACCAATGAACAATTGATTAACAATTAAGGAAGTTTATAGGATGTAGGTTTAATAGATTCATTGTTTACAGAAATGCAGACAAAAGTTCAAAAATAAAAGATGTTTACATAAAGTAGTTTTAATACTGTGGTTAATAATGGCAGCTCACACTTTTAGGAAGTTGTCTAAATATATCAATATATCAATATCTTAGTCATTAATCACAGGTTAACACCTGTGATTAATGACTAAGATATTGACTAGTTAGATTAAATGTCTCATTTAAAGGAAAAAGCCCAGTTTCAGTCCCTCACACCCTTTCCTGTGCATTTAATTTATTGATTTACCTATATTTACATTTAAAATGCTTTACATAGACATTAAAATGTCTCATTTAATTCAGTGTAGAAAAAAATTTACTAAATTTAATATTTTTTGTGAAAAATAACAAATTAGTTTACACATCTATTTTGTCATATCTCACAGGGTGTAGTGAAAGTTAACTTTGGAAATTCCAGATGTGGTTATAAAACAAAAAAAAAATATATACATTGATATTAACCTTAACATCTATTGGTTCTCTTTAGTTGGTGATTTTTTTTTTCTACACTAACTGTTCATTATTCAGTAAAAATGCAATAATTAATTTTGTACCTGGATAACCCTTTAATCCTGTTACTTGAATGAATCTTCCTGTATATATTCCATAATCCACTGTAAATTATGAGATTGTGACATTTCTGAGGTGTTTTGGACAACCAGAGACAGGATCATTGCTCCCTTCTTTTCCTTTGGTTTGGTCATTTATCATGTAATGTCATGACCATAAAACTCAACACTGCAACATTTAAGAAACCTACTTACGAAAAAAAAAATAAAAATATTTTAATGGTATTTCTGAATCTCACTGATACCATGACCTCTCTTTCTGATCATTTATACATTGAGTAGTGGCCATGTTGTGCAAAAATTATGACATTGCAACCCTGTCACAACTTTGATTGAATTCCACGAAACAAGAGGCACATACTTGCATACACATGCAACAACAAATAGTCACCGGAACGCAGCTGTTACTGTACGTTCTTCTGTTTATACAATGACTTTGTGTCGACTTCCACTAATTGTCCATTGATTGCTATGGCATAACGCTGATCCTAACAATAAACTCAATTAGTACTGTACCAGAATATATCTAGCCCTAAAATTAACCTTATCTCAATTCGTACCTTAGTTCTAAAGCGGACATCTCCCCTTATAAAATTGTACTTTATTTAATGTGAATGAATATTTGGGTTCCATAAGGACACGTGGGTCCTCAAAAAGTAAAATATTTAGAAAAATAAGCTTTGCACTGTAACAAAACCACATAACCATCACACACACACATACATTCACTTGCTGATGCCGGTAAGATACATGGTAGCCATAGATGCTCTGGGTCAGACGGGAGCGAAGCTGCCATGATTCAGGCCATCTTTTGTGCCATTGGGCCCTCTTACCATCAACAACATGCAAACATGGCACAGTTTGTTCTGTGTTTGTTTCCCGTGGTCTTTCTGCATGGAGTTTGCATGATCTCCCTGTGAATGCGTGGGTTTGCTCTGGGTACTCTGGCTTCCTCCCACAGTCCAAAAACATGACTGTTAGGTTAATTGGCTTCTCTAAATTGTTACTGGGTTTGAGTGTGTGTGTGCATGGTTGTGTGTCTCTGTGATAACCTGCGACAGACTGGCCACCTGTCCAGGGTGTACCCCGCCTCTCGCCCATCGACTGCCAGAGACCAGACCACCAGACCACCAGACCCGCCGAGACCCAGACACAATAAGTGGGAGAGGATGGATGGAATTAGTTGTTTTGAATTAGTTGACTTCTGTCTAAAATGTTAAGATATTTTAAGAAAATCAAAGATTTTGATCACATAGCTTTTGTTGAACTAGGACAAGAGTGCTTTCAAGAATATATAGATTTCATGCTTTAGGACAGGAAAAATGTGAGATGGTTTGCCCTTTTTGTATTAAGAGTAACTGCATTAGTGTGACATCTGATTATTTTTTGTAATTATTTTTTTATTTAGAAAGATATTTCCCACTTATAGCCAGAGACCCTCCATAGTGTCCATGAAAGGGCTGAAGAATTACAATGACCACATCTTGAAATAATGAGTAATAATACTAGCAAAGTGTTGCCTGAGATGGAAAATGTGATATTCTAATGGTCAGATGTGTTCTTACGTCTTTGGGATATACATACAAAGAATTTGTTTGCTAAAATGTATTCATGAAAATAGCATGTATCTAAACTGCATTTACAAATGATGTTTTCAAAAAACTATTAATAAACCAGTTAAATAATGATAGAACTGTATAGTAGAGGGCAGAGAATAAAAAAAAAATCTAATACCCAATAAGAAGAGCAAGACTATTTTCATTATAATGTTCTAGAAGTTTTACTTTTAGCAGAATGGATGAAGTCAAATGAAAAATGTCTTCTCTTAGAGGCTGTCTAGGCAAGAAGAAGGGAACAACAGGAGTCGCGTTTAAATCCCTTTGTTACATTTCACTGGATGAAATGTCCACTCAAGAATTCTATTACTCCAAAACTCCCCATTGTGTTCTCCATGCTTTTGTTTGACCTCCTGAATTTAAAGTACTCCTACAAGAATAAAGAAGGGAATCATATTCATAATCATAATCTCCCCAATCACCATGGCAGAGCTCATTACCAGACCTTTCTGTGTTTCTCAGTGTCTCCCTCAGCCACAGTCTAAATGCTAATCTGCCTGACATTGTTTGCCACCATGTAATCTTTATAATGGCTTTTTAATTTGCCATGGAATAGCAGTTCTTTAAAAGATCCCAAAAAATACTTTCTTCATATCCTATTACCCATGCACCCACCTCTTAGCCTTGTCTATCCTGAGTCCTTGCATTCCCCCTCCCCTTCCAACAACTAAGCATTGCTCCTGGATTCAATCTGCTCTGAAGCTGTATAATGGCATATCGATTCGACCCATGACCCTATGAGCACAACAGCAGGAGCAAAACCCCCCAGAATTCTTCTTAAGTCTCTTTCTTCTCAGTGTGACAGCACTGGGTTAAAACGACACTGATGACTTGTCGTGCAAACTTGAATCTCTCTTTTCCCCAGGGACCAGGAAATTGACTCAGCTTCATAGCAGCCCAGTGGTGACTGTGCACCAGCCGGACCAGCGGTTGGGCTATCAGCGGTAAACCGATTGCCGGTGCTTCTGGATTATCATGAGAGGCACTGCACGCCTTTGAATCCTAAAGCTTTTCCTCGAAGCCATTAGCAGCCTTTGCAAAGGGCCGGCAAAATGAAAGAGAAAGAAGAAAAAGAAACCTGATTGATCTCAGTATCCAATGCAAAAGGAATGACATTCTTTGATGAAGAATGAATCTGGGAGGTGCACACTTTATAAGGCTGGTTTTCCCCTTTTCTCTACAAGTCAAAATGCTTGCTGAAAAATATAAATGCAAGGTAGTTGGTTAATAATTTTTTTCTTTGTCGGTTTAATGGTAGTTTTTCTTCCACACATATCCCTTAACTCGTGTTACATTATTTAACCGTGTTTTAATACTCAAAAGTGAAATGCAGGAGAACCAATTTCCTTCACAGGTCACATTATCATGAATATGAGTCCAGCTGTGTATGATTTCCTCTCAGTATAAATACAGTTGTTCTGCAAGGCCCTTGGAGGTTTGTTAGAGAAAAAGTGTGAGCAGATACGCTCCTGAAACCAAAGGAAAACAGCTGACAGGCTGTAAAGTTGTTAAGAAGGTTTATAGCAGGCTGAAGTGCTAAAATAACATCCCAATCTTTGGAGAACTCACAGGGCAATATTTAGTAACATCATCTGAAAAAGGAATGACATGAACGTCCAAATAAACTGAAATATATTTCTATGTTAGCACCCAGTCAAAGTTGATTCAAGGATCCAATCAAAAATCCCTTAAAGCCTGGACATTGATGTTAGAAGCAAAGAAAAGTTGGAAAACATTTCAGGTCTTAAATGTGCAAAGCTGGTAAAGACAGAATTGAAATGAGCAGCTGCAATTTTTGGACAAATTAGGTCCAACAGTAAAAACTTGGGGATGATCACACTTAAATACACTCCATGTTTGAATTTAAATTCAAAAAAATGTCAATACATTTCTTTGAGGTTAAAAGTTGTAATCTGGCAAAACCTTAAAGACTTTAAGAGGCCTTACAATTTTTGAAAGTGCAACTTAATCTGACAAAAAAATGACTGAAATACATGTTGTTTTTCTTTATTAAAAAGTCAGGTAGAAAAACTATTTCTCCAAAGTGATTTATTCAAATTTTGAGGAAAAAAAAACATCCTTTTTTTAATAGCATTATGTTCATCGAGTGCCCCCATTCAGTTCTCTTAGTTCAAGTATTCTTCTACTGATAATGGATCTTAAGAGCTCTATTCAACCAGGAGGGGGAAAAAAGTAAGAAAAAAAAGGATGTGGAGGTTTTATTCTGATTGCTAAGTAGCTGTCGAAAGTAGCATGTACAAACTCAATCAGCACTGTGTAGGCACTCAGAAAAAAGGTTTCTTACTGTGGGCAAACCGTGGTGGGTTGTCGTTGACATCGGTGAGCGTGACTGTGACCGACGTTGTGCCAGAGAGGCCACCCATTTGGCCAACCATGTCTTTGGCCTGAATGACCAGCACATACTGGTCCCTTGTCTCTCGATCCATATTGGGCAAAGCTGTTCTTATGACACCTAAAGAGTGAGAGAGACAAAATGATAATGATAGTTTTCAATGAACAATTTCTTCTTCCTCCAGAAACCTCACTTCTATATCCCACATTGACTGATGATAAATGGCTCTCTTTGGATTTATTTTTATAGCTTTTAAATGTCAATTTCATCAATTTCAATATCAATATACAGTAAATTTATTTCAAATTTATTTTGAATTAAAAAATGAACTTCATATGTTACAAAGTGATAATTTTTAGCTATATATTTTTCTGGTAATTTTCAAAGACTCAAGAATTTCAAGAAAATCATTAAAGAATATTATTAATACAGAAGTATTAACCAACATCCTATTTCAGAGGTAAGACTGCAGAGTATTATCCAACCTCACACCCTCAACAATGAGGACAAGTCACAAAAATCTATTGTTTAAGATGCTAAATGTTCTGAGTGCTGTTTTTTTTTCTGAATTGTTTGTTGCAGCTTTTTCCTATAAGCTGTTATCTTTCTTCAACACTGATTTCAAAGTAAAATAATTATTCATTTCTGTTTTAAAAAGTATTCATTTCATTGGCTGACAAAATTAGTTTTCACATTTTTTATCAGGAATTGCCATTCTAGCCTAACTAAAGAAAAGCTTTAAAGTAAATGAATCTGACACAAACTGTAGTTTATGTCACAACAGGACACTCATCAAGACTTTATATAGTCTGAAAACCAAGATGCCCTTTAGGGCTAAAAGCATAAGTTAAAAGACAAAGTTAAATTACACCAACCGCTGTAGTTTCAGAGCTGTCATCACTTCAATAGAATCTATCTGATATCACAAAGTAGAGTACAATAACTTCAAAATGGTATTCATGCCCTAATGATGAGACAACAATAATGCTTAAAAAAAAAAAGCTTTTAGAACAGTGATCACGAATAGAAAAAAGTTCTGAATGTTGGAGAGTCCCAAAAATATTTACTCCAATGGCACATTGAGGATATACTTAGAAGGTCAAAACTGTACACAACAGAACATCTAAAACACCTAAGTTTTACTTTCCAGTTATGATTGGTGTTTGTGATTTATTTTGCCAAAAGAAAAACTTGGCAAAAAACTGCATCCACAGAAGAGTTCCAAAGACATACCAGTACTGACCAAGAAGACAATAAACTATTTTTCACTGAACGCCATGGGATTTAAAGCCCCAGGTTTTGTGAAAGAACCGTGACAGCCTGAGATAAATTGCACTACACCTTCAGTACAGTAGGTAGCGGCAGTAGAAATATACAGTAGTGGTTCTTCTTTTATCATTTCAGACCAGGGGTCTGTTTCACGAAGCAGGTTTATTGAAAACTCTAAGTTTCCTAAACTTGAAATCAGGGAGTTTTCCATTTCATAAAGAGAGTTCACACTACTTAACCTCTGTTTCAGTCACCATAGTAACCTTCTCAACAGAGCTAACCTGGTCAGCAGCAGGTTTTCTTCAGTAAACTCTCCTTAGAGCCAATCACGCTGTTTTATTTCCTGTTTTAGTCCGATTTTTGTTGTGGTTTTGTCATTCACTAGGCCCATTAGACACATTAGCTTTTAAAAACAAACATTGCCTGTCCGTTTGACGAGGATCTTATTAAAGAATGATTAACTCTTTTTGACAGAGAAATAAATATTTATAGGGAGAGGATTCTATAACTCAGTTGACAGGATATGAGAATTATTAGTTTTTGGTTTGTTTAATATGAGCGAGATGTAGATCCTTTTTTAAATGTACTTATTTTTACAGTACATGAAAAACTCCTGAGCTGCTGAGCCTACTGGCACAATCTGAAGCTATCTATGGGATGCTAATAACAACTATTTATTGGAATGACAACATCCAAAACGTAATTAACTGAGGAGGAATCCTATCAGACAATGACCAGGTTCCATCTATTAGAACATTTTTTGACTCAATTTTCACCTGCTGCCAGATGATTTCACCTAAATAGGTGCATTAATCTACTACCATTCAAGAAATAAACTCATAATGCTATTATGGTCACAACATTTGATATGTATTAGTTTTAGTGAACATGTATTTCTGATAACTGAAAAAAAAAATTTCCTTGTCAAAATGACCATTTCAAACAAAAAGACGTTCTTCTCATCTAGAATAAACATTCTGGATGTTTAGAAATTAATTTCAGATCTTCATATTCCTATAGTTAGTGGTCAGCATTCGTATTATTTTTGACTATGACAAAATGTATTTCAGATATTATAAATACATATTCAGTCAAGCTAATAAATGTCAAAACGGCAGCTTAAAATGTGTAAACCTTTTTAGGTATATAAAACTTAATTCTTACAAGCATAATTTTGTTTAGTTTTCTTTTTACTTTCTGAAATTCAGTTTCTGCTGCAAAAATGTAATTTAGAAAATATATTATTACAGTTCAGTCTGAGAGTGCGATTTATTTAATGGGTAGTGACCAACTAAATGGCTGATGTATTGGCTACGGTTAGCCTGGGAGATCACAATCCATACCCAACCCACAGCGGCCTGAACCCGGGGCTCTGCCATTCCAACACAGATTTAAATTAACACTGACAAACTGACTACAGTTTTGAATTGTACTGAAAAACATCTCAGAACATAATTTTGTGTGAAACAATCAACAAGTATTGACCAAATTACTAATTGTTATGGCTGTGGTTAGCCAGAGTAAGGTATGAAAAACATTTGTACGACAACTCTTATTGGTTACTGCTGCCATGGGTGGGATAAGACACTAGAGTTGTACACAAACCACCCCTCAAAAGCCAACAAAGAACTGTGTCTCAAGAGGCACCAAGCCAAAAAATTCACCCCGGGAAATGTGAATGGAGATGCTACCAGGGCTTTCAAAAGCCCCAGGCTTTTGAATGGAATTGGAAAACCAGACTAATAAAAGGTTAATCTACTATTTCTCAAACTTTCCAAAACTCTCTAGACTTTTGGGAACTATATTGCAGACTGAGGAAACAAATTAAACCATTTCTAGAATGTGAGGATCCCCATACATTTAGTATTTAACAATGCAACATTTCAGAAAAATGACATCACACCTACAGTCAGACATAGTGGTGGTAATGAAACAATATGAAGGTTGTCGTTTCTACACTGATACACCATACAGTACACCACACCATTTGGTTGAAGGACTTTAACTTTTTCACTATTGATCTGGTCTGTCTGAATAGCTTTGCCCACTATCAAAATTGTTTTGATGATCAGAAATACTTTAGCATGACAATAAAGTAATACATAGGACACTGTGTATTACAGTATTACTGTTTTTATTACATGGTTAACTATATCTAGAGCTAGAAAAAGAGAGCAAGAGCCTAACTCTTCTTCAGTTCCCTGAAATTATTCTGTCTTTTATGTGTATTGGCAAGAAAACCACTCAAGTCCTTTATGTTGCAGTTTGTCATCTTACTGAATTGAAGATATCATTTCAGACTGGAAAAGACGGTTTGTATCAATGCGTTAGCTGGAAATCCTGAGAGTTCTCCGAGTCAAAGTAAATGCCTTTGTTGGCTGTTGCCTCTTTTACTCTGGTTGGTGCGTCTTCTCTGGTTGAAATGTGCTGTCTATCTAAACAGTTTAGTAGTCAGATGTGTGATGAGACAAATGTTCAGACATTGTCAGAAAAGTTAGAACCTGCAAGGGGAGAATTTTGCTACCAGGGGAGGAATCATCTTTCTGTTCCTACGGTCATGATTGATCTCTATCGAAAAAAGATAAGAGATGTGACAAAGCCGACATCAAATAACTGTCATTTGCCTGGTGTCACCTGAGCCTCCAAAATAACAGCTATGAAAGCACAGAGCCAAGCTCTGGTAAATACCAAATAACTTAAGGTGAAAATATGTTTTTTGTTTACGGCACTTTTCTAATCTAAGCTTTATCCCTTAAATAAAAAGATAATTCCAGGAAAATTAACACAGCCCATTTAAATCAAACAGAAGTGTTGTAATCCTTCAAAAGCAATCAGGGGTGCTTTCAAAGTTAATGATTTGCCACACAACGTGTTTCATTCATGAAATGGCACTTATTAAAGATTCCCTCCGAGTTTAAAAGATTATTCATTAAGAATTACATAAAGCCGCAGCTCACAGTTCTTGAATAAATGAATCATATTTTTGTACTTTATCATATTCACAGTGTGATGAAGGAGATGAAAATAGGACCTCGCTCTTTCAGCTGAAACCTGATGATTTTCTGATTCTAATCCTTAAAACTGCATAAAACATTGAGATTCAATTTAATGAAAGAATAAAAGTCTTCATGTACCCATATTTTACTAGTTATATGTATGTTTCAGTCAAAGCTGACTATTTCTTAGGTTTAAAGTATGCATGTTAATATAACAGTTTTTACCCCAATGCAGACCCTTAAAACAAGCTTCTATGAGAAGTTTCCAAATGTATCCTTTAACACAGGCTTTACGTCATTTAACTAGTGCAGTTTTGTGTATTTATTTATTTATTTTTTAGGCAATCCTGTACATAAAGGACTGGGGAAAAAAAGCTAATCATCAAATGGGAAAATGACCAAATTTATCTGATAAATTTCCAGGAAATATCACCTGGAAATGTGTGTGTTGTTGTTGGGCCTCAGTTAAAAATGCCAGAAAATCAAGTGAATAAGCAGCTCTTTTTTTTTTTTTTTTTTTCCTGTGTGTGGGCACATTAGAGTAACCAACAAGAGCGCCCTCTCCACAAAGTGTGATTTTTGTCCTCCTGTATTTATATCATCACAGTCGTTAGCCTGACTTGCTATCACCTGTCCAGTCTCTATTCCATTAACAGGTATGAGTCCAATAATCAGGGACTCAGCTGCAGGTATAGATGGTAAGTGTTAATAGGCTAATGTTGCTAATGCAACATCCACACAAACAATACACAAATATAATACAAATATACATCCAAGTCAAATTCTTGCCTTTATGAGACGAAAAAAAGGGTGTAAAAACGGATCTGGATGAGCTGTATTATTTTTCTTTCTTTC